TTTTTTTTTTTTTTTTAGCCCAGAAAGGATATCTGAGATTCTTGTATTTGAGAGGTACAAGCACCTAATTTCACCTGGAAAAGCAGGTCCAATAAATAGAATTTTTGCTGAGCATTCTGTTTTATGGAAATATTTAAAGATGAGTGAAAATGATGTTAAATCTTAGGGCTAGACGCCCCGGGAACTGGGCTTTATCAGGAATCTGCAGTGGCTGGGCGTGTCTACCTACCTTCTTTGGCACTGGTTTGCCCTGTGGCTGCAATATGTATATGGACTCAGTGGACCAGTGGGTGAAAACATGAGGGTAGGAGGTGATGTCTTGCTCACTGCTGTGTCCCCAGTGCTAGCACAGCGCCTGCTACACCAGCGGTGCTCAGTCCATGGCTGGCGTTGAAGTTACTCTTGAGCTGGGGGGATATTTGGGCACTGACGCTCTTGGTGTCTCTTTCAGGAGGCGAGGAGGCCAGGCCCTTGGTACGGGGCGTAAGAGGCCGAAGCATCAGCATGAAGGTGCCCACTCCTTCCCGAGCCAAGCAGGGGGCCTTCAAGACCATACCCCTTCGGTGGTCTTTTGGACACAGAGAGAAACCAGTGGTTGCATCTGTCGAGTTGGTGGAGTACTTGGAGTCTAGACGGAGACCTCGATCCACAAGCCAGTCCATCGTGCCGCTGCTGACGGGCGCTGCTGGCGGGGATGACAAGTCAGCGGAGCCGAGGTCAAATGCCACCGTCTCTGCTAAGGGTGAAGACAGTGAGCGAGCCGGCGAGAGAGCCCCCGCCGGAGCGTCCTGCCCCGCCGGCCGCCTTAGCCACTGTGCCGTCGCTGCAACCTCGGATGGTCTGAACCCAGCAGGGACACTCAGGGAACCTGCAGGACAGGCCAGCAGGCTTCCCAAGCAGTTGGACCTGCCCCTCACGGTCATGCCCTCAGTGGAGAGCGAGAAGCGAGCCCGGCCCGAGGGCCAGAGGACCTTGGACTGGAAGGGAAGCGGCCAGGCGGGGAGCAGTGACAGAGCAGCCTCCCCCAGGGACGCTTCAGCCGCTGTGGCCGGATCCGAGCCCCACGCGCGCCGGCATCCCTTAGCCAGGGCCAGGGCTACTGCAGAGGGAAGGGGCCCCGAGACAGACAGGCTCTCACAGGGGACCCTCACCCTGCTGAGGTCTGTGTTTTGGAGGAAGGAGAACAAGAAGAGTGACAAGGCTGAGGTGGCTCCTCAGGTGGCCCCGGCCTCCCTGGGGAGGGGCAGGCTGAGCCTGGCTGTGGATGAGCAGGCTCGAGTCCCGTCTCCCCTGAGGGTGCCGGGGGGCTCTGTCCGGTCTGCGCCCAGCTCTCTGCACCTCCCACGCAAGGCCAGCAGGCCCACGAGGGCCAGCGCCCCGAGCATGGCACAGAGGAGTGTGCCCGGGGAGCAGACTGCTTTTGGCGCCTCGCAAAGGGTGAAGTACCACACCCTGTCCTTGGGGCGAAGGAAAACATTACCGGAGTCCAGCTTTTGATGGTGTGTGCCAGTGTCGTGTGAAGCTAGCATCCTCTCAACTCTGCACCGAGCAGCTGCAGGCAGCCTGTGCTGAAAGCGGGACTTTGGGAAGCCACTTGTCTCGTGACCCCTGAAAAATAAAATTTTTTTGGTCTTCACGTCTAGATTTCCAACACACCCAAAGACCTTCCTGTATTGTCGGCTGCTTTCCTCCTTACAGGACACTAGAGTGTGCTGTTGGGTCAGCACTAATTTCAGGACCTGAGTCCCTGTGCTAAAGAGCGACTGGATGTGAGCAGACCCTACAGCATAACTGTAGGGAAGGCTGGTTAATGCTAATCTTCAGTCTCAAATCAAATATTGTCAGTGGCTTCTCCTATTTAAAAAAAATTGAATTTAAATAGTTGACTTAACAGGAAAATATTTTCCTTTTAATGTTTCTCTGGGATAAAGCATTAAAGATGCCAAAAATGTGGTGGTGACAGTAAGGCAAGATTCTAGGAGAGAGATGATTGAGACTTTTAAAGAATATTTAATATATAACAAAATAATTAAAGATTTTCAAACTATTTAAAAAAGATAACTATTTTGATACTAGGACAAAAGGAAGCTCTTTTTTAAAAAAGTTTTAAGTATGAGATGTATGTACAATTTTAATAAAAGCCCATCAGTGAAATGTGGAAATGGCTGAATTATTCAAGTTTTATAAATGGTGTTGTTTTGTTCCTACTGAGTCAACTTGACTCATTGCTGTGGATATCAGACAGTCATTACTTGAGTTGTTACTGAAATTTGAAAATGCTTTTAAGTAAAATGACTTGCTTTATAAGAAGTAGAAAGCTCCTCGGGTCTCACTCCAGATCTCCCTCATTCTTGCGGGGGCCTGGGAGTCTGAGCCTGTCCGTCCCGTGTGCTGGAGCTTTGTGCACTGTCCAGCGGCCACTCTGACAAATGCCCTGTCACTATTCCTGGGAAGCTGCTGAGCCTGACCCCAGGCCTGTGGCCCAACAGTTGAGGTTACTGGTGAATCTNCTCCCTGGGGAGGGGCAGGCTGAGCCTGGCTGTGGATGAGCAGGCTCGAGTCCCGTCTCCCCTGAGGGTGCCGGGGGGCTCTGTCCGGTCTGCGCCCAGCTCTCTGCACCTCCCACGCAAGGCCAGCAGGCCCACGAGGGCCAGCGCCCCGAGCATGGCACAGAGGAGTGTGCCCGGGGAGCAGACTGCTTTTGGCGCCTCGCAAAGGGTGAAGTACCACACCCTGTCCTTGGGGCGAAGGAAAACATTACCGGAGTCCAGCTTTTGATGGTGTGTGCCAGTGTCGTGTGAAGCTAGCATCCTCTCAACTCTGCACCGAGCAGCTGCAGGCAGCCTGTGCTGAAAGCGGGACTTTGGGAAGCCACTTGTCTCGTGACCCCTGAAAAATAAAATTTTTTTGGTCTTCACGTCTAGATTTCCAACACACCCAAAGACCTTCCTGTATTGTCGGCTGCTTTCCTCCTTACAGGACACTAGAGTGTGCTGTTGGGTCAGCACTAATTTCAGGACCTGAGTCCCTGTGCTAAAGAGCGACTGGATGTGAGCAGACCCTACAGCATAACTGTAGGGAAGGCTGGTTAATGCTAATCTTCAGTCTCAAATCAAATATTGTCAGTGGCTTCTCCTATTTAAAAAAAATTGAATTTAAATAGTTGACTTAACAGGAAAATATTTTCCTTTTAATGTTTCTCTGGGATAAAGCATTAAAGATGCCAAAAATGTGGTGGTGACAGTAAGGCAAGATTCTAGGAGAGAGATGATTGAGACTTTTAAAGAATATTTAATATATAACAAAATAATTAAAGATTTTCAAACTATTTAAAAAAGATAACTATTTTGATACTAGGACAAAAGGAAGCTCTTTTTTAAAAAAGTTTTAAGTATGAGATGTATGTACAATTTTAATAAAAGCCCATCAGTGAAATGTGGAAATGGCTGAATTATTCAAGTTTTATAAATGGTGTTGTTTTGTTCCTACTGAGTCAACTTGACTCATTGCTGTGGATATCAGACAGTCATTACTTGAGTTGTTACTGAAATTTGAAAATGCTTTTAAGTAAAATGACTTGCTTTATAAGAAGTAGAAAGCTCCTCGGGTCTCACTCCAGATCTCCCTCATTCTTGCGGGGGCCTGGGAGTCTGAGCCTGTCCGTCCCGTGTGCTGGAGCTTTGTGCACTGTCCAGCGGCCACTCTGACAAATGCCCTGTCACTATTCCTGGGAAGCTGCTGAGCCTGACCCCAGGCCTGTGGCCCAACAGTTGAGGTTACTGGTGAATCTGTACTTAAACAGTCTGTTTTCTAGAAATACTTCCTTTCTGATGGGAACCATTTGTTCAAGACACCCAACTCCCCAAATTTAGTTTTCCTCATACATACTGCATGACTCATTGCTATATCCCTACTACTTTTTTTTCTTATGAAGAAATAACGAGGTCCTTTTATTTTCCCTACGGAGAAAGATTGCTTACTTTTGAGTAAGAATGCTCAGGTGGGAAGATCTGAGATAACAGAAAGCGAAAGCAGGAGGACCAGCCACCTGACTCACCTGGAGGGCATATGTACACCATGGACCTGTGTGCATTTCAGAAGCGCAGGTTCTCTTCCAGGCTTGGCCCACGTGCTCTCAGGCAGAGTGGAAGAAGTGGCTGTCCGTGCCCTCTTGGGTTATGGAAGCCTGGGAATCTTCCTGTTTACCTGGCTCCTTCTCAGAGGTTGGTCATTTGCCATGTTTAGCTCCCATGCCCTTTCTAAGCTCAGCCTCACCTTTGTCCTTAGACGTGCACCCCCAGGCTTCTCCCCTATGAGGCCTCAGCCTTTAGAATACCCCTTGGGGCCTCGGTGACTGTATGGATGCTAGAAAGCCTGTCGAGGAGGAAGGAGCCTGAGCGCCTTCCAGAGGCTGCAGAGTGTGTACCCCGAGTCCCTGCCCTGGGACGTGAGGAAAGTCACTCTCCGTTGGAGAGCTTTCCCCTGGGGTCTGGAGGTGCCCAGCCAAGACCTTGGCTTCCTGCTGAGTAAACAAACCTCTTCAGAAATCCTAAGATGATGGAAGGGGACACTTAGGGGACCCTGGAAAACTTCGGCAAGAAGTAGTCTAAAAATTTTTGTCATTAAAAAAATATATGCAGGGTGAGGCAAAAGTAGGTTTACAGTTGTGAGTATGCAAAACTTTATTCTTGTATTATTATTTATTAGTTATTGCATTATTTTCCACGTGAACAACTATAAACCTACTTTCGCCCAACCCTGTACATTACCTATAATGTCAGGGTCTATTGGGTCCTATTAGATGCAGTGACGGAATCAGAAAGGAATAATTGTGGCCCAATTAGAAAATATATTCTCACGAGAGGAGCGGGAAGAGCTGGGCAGGTCAGTGACGCGCAGCAGTGGCGTTGTGGCAGAGGAGGTGGCGATCACGGGGACTCCGGCACAGGCACCTCGGCTCGCTCCTTAACGCTTTGCCAAGGCCCCCTGGTCACTCTTTCGAGTCTTTTCCTGCCCTTTTAGCCTTTTAAGGACCGATCAGACCACAGTAACAGTCCATCCCGTTGGACAAGATGCACGAGCAGCTAGGTGCTAACGCCTTGGCTTTCGGGGTCTGCAGGAACACACTGAGTCTCTGAGTGGGGAGCACAGGAAATCAGGACAAACTTGCAGAAATGGTGGGTGAAGAAGGAAGGTGAGCCCTGGCCAGTGTGGCTCGGTTGGTTGGAGGAGGATCCCGTGCACTGTAAGGTCGCAGGCTCGATTCCCAGTCAGGACACATACCCAGGTTTAGGGTTCGATCCCTGGTTGGGGTGCATATGGGAGGCAACCGATCTATGGTTCTCGCATTGATGTTTCTCTCAGTCTCTCTCCTTTTCCCTTCCTCTCTCTCTAAAATCAATAAAAACAACAACACACACATCCTCAAATGAAGACTAAATTAAAAAAAAAAAGACAGAAGGATGAGTCTTTTTTTTTTTTTTAAATATATCTTTATTGATTTCAGAGAGAGGAAAGGAGAGGGAGGGAGAGAGACAGAAATATCAATGATGAGAGAGTCACTGATCAAGCCCACAACCCGGGCATGTGCCCTGACTGGGAATCGAACCTGGATCCCAGGTCAATGCTCAACCGCTGAGCCACACCCTGCCAGATGGAAGGATGAGTCTTTATGGCTGAGCTAAAAGGAAGTCAAAGAACCNTGGATCCCAGGTCGATGCTCAACCGCTGAGCCACACCCTGCCAGATGGAAGGATGAGTCTTTATGGCTGAGCTAAAAGGAAGTCAAAGAACCTCTAGGGAGCCACGGCCCTTTTAGTTACTAGAAAGCAATCCAAATTTTTAGCCAGATGAACTTTTTGGATAGCTTTCTCTTAAAGCAGTTGAAGCTTTCTCACTTTTATGAGAATATTTAGTTGGCTTGATATTTTCAAAGGGTTTACATTGTGGACACAGCAAAAGTGGAGTATATTTATGTGTACTGCTGGCTATTCATGATGTAAACCCTTGAATACCTCAATATCTGGATTAGCATGTCCTTAGTGAATATACATGGGATGAGGTGGCCCTGGGCCCTCTTCTGTTGGGTGGAACCCCTAGGAGTGGCCACAGTTCTCCCTTCTTGACAGCCAGGCAGTACCGAGCCCACTACTCTAGGGCCCTTATCTCACAGAATCAGGGCAGTCTGGGACTAAGGTCTTCTCATCAAGAAATCTCAGGTTTAAGGAATTCTGAATTACATATAACTGATCAAAAGAAGGAAATATTCTAATAAATCTGTTTTCTTATTTCCTAGTGAGGAGGCATGTGGAACGGAAGATAAAAAAGTAGGTCAAGCCCTGCCAGCGTGGCTCAGTGGTTGAGCGTTGACCCATGAACCAGGAGGTCATGGTTTGGTTCTGGTCAGGGCACATGCCCGGGTTTTGGGCTCGATCCCCAGTAGGGGGCATGCAGGAGGCAGCTGATCAATGACTCTCTCTCATCATTGATGTTTCTCTCTCTCCCCCTCTCCCTTCCTCTCTCTGAAATCAATAAAAACATATATTTTTTTTTAAAAAGTAAGTCAACATATTTTTCTTGTTTAAGCCTTGAAAACTCAGTTTAATTAGGATGGAATTAGATTACATTGGGAGATGGGGTGGGCCTTTATTTGGGTAGAGTTGCGCAATTAGACCAAGAGATAGAGACAGATTGACTTATCTCCATCCACCCACCCATCCACCCAATTAGCATTTATTGACTATATACGACCCATCAGACACTGTTCTAGGCTTTGAGGGTACTCTGCTGGTTAGAGAGACAAAGTCTTTGCTCTCACAAAGCCTACATTTTAGAGAGACAGACAAAAAACCCCCCAAGTAAACACTTCCTTATAGCGGCGTGTGCTGAGAAGGAAAGGAAACAGTGATATCCAAAACTACTGGGAGACGACTGGCGATTACTGTGGGTTCCAGTTCAAACCCTGTTGACTAGAGACATTCTTAACTCACAGTTAAACTTTTCTAAGTTCTTCTGCAGTGAATATTTGGGTCCTCTTTCTGAATTTTTGTCTGGTTGGGTAAATTGCACTAACAGGACAGAATTTATTTTGCTTATTCAAATAACAAATATATTTACATGCAAAAAATCTTCCAGGAGAGGCATACAGGAAGGAAGCCATCAAGACAGAGAGAGGCTGTGGAATCCTGGAGACAAGAGATGGAGTTTACTTTATGGCTCTTTAAGTCTCCAGGGATCACACATAAATCAGTAGTGATGTATTAAGTTCCTCTTAACCTCTGTAGGGGGGAGCCAGTCCCTGTGACTCACTGGCATGTCACTGCTCCACACAGATGGTGCATCGCTGGAAGGAGAGGCGTGTGCTCACACACAACTTGGGGGGAAGGTTGAACCCAGGACCCTAGTGTGTGCCAGGAGAGCAAGGTGAGAAGATTGTGAGCCATGAAGGCAGGGTTTGCCCCATCTTGCCCTCCACTTCTCCACCCTGGCCATGTCCCCTTCAAACCACTGCAGCCAGCCATGCACACCCAAGGCTGTGGGTCCCTTGATGGCATATCTGACAGTTTCTTATAAATGCCAAACAATGCTTTCCTTTCCATCCCAGTCCCGGTCCACCTCTCTACAGCACAGAACACTGTGGGTCATTCTTTCCTTCTGGAAAGTTCTTTTTCTTTAAATTTTTGTGACACCACTCTTTCTCAGTTCCCTTCAAATTTGGAGGGCGTGGGGTCGGGGAGGACCATCTTGGCAATGGAGAAGGCATAGCTGGAGGAAGCTTC